ATAAACAATTGTGAGCTTGTAAGCTGAATTCCCCTTAATATGATGCCTGCAAACAGGCTACACAGCAACAAAAAACTTGAAAAAATTTCAATTAAGAAGAATATAATTTGCACACAAATAATGAAAAGAAATTGCACTTACAATCTCAATCTGCCGACGTTTCATCCTCTCTCTCTTCAACTCCTCTCCCTTCTGGTAATAAATCCTTAGGCGTTCAGCCTCTGGTCTCTGAAGGAACTGTCGCATGATCTCAAAATTCATCCAACCCTTGTAGTGTGTATTGTCTTGGGGGCGAAAAAAGTTCTCACCATGTTTGAGCATTTCAGAGAGATATCCTTGCGATTTGCCGAGGACCGCTTTGGCAAACACCTCTTGAGAAACATTATACTTAACAAGTTCGAGTTTAACTTGTTCACAAATGCTCTCTGTATCAAGCACATGCCCATTTCCACTCGAGGACTCTGCTGCTGCAGTGGGCTTCAGCGCTTGGGGAGGCTCTGTGAATTTCTTGTCAGAAGTTATTCTGAGAATGTGATTAAGAACCATGCTTGCCAAAGGGGAATCATCTGGTCTCTCCTCAGGCTCACTCTCACAATCTTGGTCTACTTTTTGAAGTTCAAGATTGTTCATAAATGATTCATCAGTAGTGGAGTTTTGCCATTCTCCATTCACCTCTTTCCCTAGGCAAGCAACGAAATGGAATAAGTTGTTGTATACTGAATCAGGCCTTTACATGTTTATACAAAAACAGCTTCAATAAAATTGAAAATCCATATTTTCAGAAACATGTACGATTATGGCTTTTGTACAAGTCAGAAAGAAGGCATCATTTATAGTTAAATGTAAGATTAATTTTGTTGTTTACTTCAACCACAAAAGGTTTTAAGGACCAAAAAGGTTATATTATAGTTGCTGACATTGTTTTTTTTTTCCCAAAAGAACCAGCTTACATGTAAATGGCTAGGTTAATCTAAAATCAGATGGAGATAATTTTAAGGTTAACAAAATCACTTTGAAATAGATTTATGAATAAAGGGGATAATTTCCTGGAGAAACTGTGGAGCTGCTTGACAAACGGCTTGCACTAAAAACATCAGCTTTAGAAACTATTTATGGTGCACAATTTACATTATGAACTCAGTTGATCAAACCACATTATCTTAAAACAGAGTTAGCCTTTTTATCACTTTGATACTTTTTCTATTTCAACAATTGATGATTGAAATTACCACTGACATAATGATTGAATTAAGTAACAATGCTATCCTCCTTTCTTAGTTATGGGCTGTTATAAATTGGCCCCACTTTTTAAAACAGGTGATGACTACCTACAAATGTACTAATTTTTCATTATAGTGTTAGGACTGTAACTACACAAAAAAATTTAATTACCAGTCTAAGTATTTGCCCAAAAACTATGGAAAAATAATTATTAGACTAGCACCCTTTGAGGCAAACTTGTAGATACATTTACAACAGTGCATGGAAAAGGATCATAACATAAAAGTAAATCAGTGCCCTAAAAGGAAGAAGTTTTATCAAACTCATTGCATTCTAAAACAAAACATGTGCTCTTTCCATGGTAGGCTACCAACATTGTGTGATCATAACATGAAATGATTCAAAATTCTTGCAATAATTATCATAATTTATTTTCAGTAAAAAAAAACCCCAGTTAAAAAACCAATAACCAGTAATTGCAATCTAGCGCTGATTCAGTATACAAAATGATACAACTTAGATATTCCATTTCATTAACTTTTATTTGCAGATGAATAGGAATTGGGTTGTTTCCCCAAATTCAAATTCACTTCCTGAGCAGAGTTAGTAATATTCTGACTCAGTGTTTTCCCTTATTTCAAATATAATAAGTAATATCAATTTTCAAACTGGTAGTAAGAGTAATCATTCTACATGTACCTGTTAAATTTTCAGTAATTCCAAATGATTTATGGTAGTGATAGGAGGTACTTAAGAAATTAAATTTTATTAGTTATCACCTGAAAAGGACAAAACTGTCACCTGGATAGAGTGACATGTAGTAACATTTGGACTCACAGTAAATGGAAATTTTTATTAAAAATCATCTCACCCACATGTGCAAGCACATTGCTTCACAGAGAACAAGAGAAAAAGACTACACAGCTTTGTATAAATTTTACAATTTCTTAGTATAGATGCAAACACATTGCAAATACCTTTAAAACATTTCAAGAATAACTTTAAAAATTCCAAATTTCCAACCCTTTGAGGACAAAGAGTGATTAGCATGAAAGTTCTCCTTCCAACATCATCCCTGAATCACACGTAAAGGTCACGAGAATAACAAAAATGATCACAAATGAATGAAGCTCTTGATTGTTAAACAAATTCTCCTTGTCAGCACCTTATGAAATGTATGGAGAATATGCATACTGATGTCAGGTTGTAAAGGGTTTCACCATACCTTCTGGTTCATACTCCAAATCGATTCCTCTGCTTGTTTCAACTGATGGTGTTAGTCCAGGAAGGACTGTGGGTTCGGGTCTCACACCTGAAGAAATGAGAAATTGAATAATATTATTCAGTTCTGATAATTGTCATTGCATAATATATGACTTGTCTGGCCCTGCTTGCGCAATCCTCTAGGAAACTAAAATGGAAGCTGACCCATGAGCCGGGGTTGACATGAGCCAGTTTAAAAAACGACCATCTGGCCCCACACTGGTTTCTTGCAAAAAGAAGAACATTGTTTACATTGAACTCTAGGAAAACAGGATCAAGAAAACAAGGTGTGTTTCTATGAACTGAAAGTTTCTCAAACCAACTCACAAAAATAAAGGAAGATTTTTATGACCTTGAGCCAAATAGTTTCCCATCCAGCCTTCCCACTCAGTCAATACAAATTAGTACATCATATTAATTCAATAATCCAGTTACATAAAAGATTGCAAGTTGGTTTGTTAGTTTGTCAGTTAAGTTTTCTACATAATATCTCACTTTTATTCATCTTCACGTCTCTCACTACCAATTTTTGACAACCACATTTACTTATTTACCACTTTTTAATCCATATTCTCTGCATTTGTTCCTCAGTTCATCAATTCAGAGCTAAAAACCTTTCATTTGTTTATTCATTCATCAATTAATTCAGTCATTTTGTAATTTGGTTGGTTAAGTCATTCAGAAAACCTATCAATCAGTAATTAACTCTTTCACTCTCAGAAGTGACTTACACATACTCCCTCCCTACAATATAAATTCAATATCAAGCAGACAAGTGATGAGGAGAAAAAAAAATATCAACAAGGGGATTATTTGTTGATCCAATACCAAATTCCCCAAAATAACATCATAAGAATTGTATTGCAGACAGTAAGGAGAATTACTAATGCCATCTTGGGAGTGACACAGTCAAATTAACTACTTCCTTATATTCTCTCCCAAGAAAATAATTAATTCATCCAAACTTTTTCCTCAAGATCCATACTTTCCTTCAGTAATTCACTTACATCTGCTTCATTTTCATAAAAATTTACTGATTGTATTATTCTTCAAATGCATCATTTATGTATATTAAAATTATCATTTGTAAACAAGACTCCTCTTTTTCAAGGAAGAAATTTAAAGATTAATGCTCTATGAAAACAGTTGATAAAACAATGTCCCTAAAATGCACCTTCTGTTTCAGCTTGAATTCCAAGATTCACAACTTCATATAGTCGTGCCATAGGAGGGCATGCACTGATGATGTTAACGACTTTGGCCAAATTATTTGCAATGGCATCAAATCCATCATATCTGAGCTGACTATGGAGGGAAGAAGGGTTATAAAGTTATTAAAGAATTATTTATGACAATAACCAACACTGGCAATCCAGTAGATCAAATTATAAACACATGTAATAAACACTTAATTACCACTATGTTGACACCTAAAAATATAATCCATGAACAACGGGACCAAACAGGTTAATGGGAAATGTTTGCTCAAATACACCACTAAGGATTCACTTTTCTCCAGAGATTCACTTTCCTTGTTATCCTCATTAAATCGTGTTTTTACAACTGGTATTCCTTTTCTTTCAGGAAAGCTTCAATAGCCTCCATCATTCACCACATGCAACTAATTGTGTTTATTATATACACCCTCCTAATAAAAGACAGAATCTTGGTGATTATTGAAATCAAGTGTATATCTGTGTCATCAATAATGTACAAGCTCACAGAAAAAGACATAAACAAATGAATTTCAGGGTTTAAATTTTCTGTGAAAGTCACCAGTTTGGCAGCCTGTGTTGTGCAGTGTTGTAACAACCTGTAACATTGGGTTAATTTTTGTTTATAATCTGAAATTTAAGAGACTGAAACATCTGCATAAATACTTTATAGAAGTTATTTTCCTGGCAACCATTTCATCATTTCAGGTTGCCAGAAAGCCACTTTGAGAAAAATTTGAACTTGGGACCTTGGAAGCCAGAGAAAAACTAATAGACCTTGCAGAATGAGAAGTATTTGGCATAAAAATCATAGGAACTACAGAGGAAGAAAATCAAATGGCTAACCTTTTACCCTGCTCTTTGAGACAAAGCTCACATTTGCCAGCTAATCAAGCCACTAACAGGTATGTAAATTGACCACAGTAAAGGCTCTCTAAAGCTGATTTTTTGGGCATTAGCCCTTTATTAGATCAATCGACAAAAAAACTCAGTTGGTAAGAACTGATTATCATGTAATAACCTCCACTGATACAGCACTCCAGTTTCTTTACAAAGTTATTCTCTTTACCAACAGGAGCAGCCAGAAAAAAGTTGTTCATGCACTGTACATTTAACCTAATTTACAGAAAAATTCCAACTTCCTTGATTTTTCTATGACATATTTTTCCAAATGAAGTACCAAAAAAGAGCTGCCTTTCTTTCTTTGTGTTCCTAGGCAAAATTTCACCGAAGCCTACAACAATAACGCTATCATTTTTTTCCTTAAACTAAATTTTTCAGCATATGTTGAAACAAATTGTACCATAACTGGCTGAACTTTACGACAATATTTCACCTGATAAAGCAGCATCGACAGAGAAGCGCAGACAAGACTTACTTCTCACAATAAAAATTAATAACACTAAAAAGTAAGCAGAAACATCTTTCAGGTATTTCTCGATTTAGCTTGAAACAAGTCTGTGTGGGTTAACGTAAATTGTACTGAGTCAAAAAAAAACATTGTCTGTTGTAACAAATTTGAGGTACTCTTCCAGCCAAGATAAATTTACTCCTACTAACTTACTGGTGTTCAACACAATTAGAACGGAACGAAGCTTAAAGGGTTCAATTCGCATCAATAACAACGGAAAACCATCAAATAAGTATCAATCGGGTTAATACTTAGCACCACTTCTACTTCTCTTAACGAAACATCACGAGGCTGGAACGCTTATAGGCAAATAATATTTGAGGTTCAATTCATCTACTTTTTCTTTAATCTAGTCACACACCCGCGATGCTTCAAGGAGATAGATTAACGCAGACGCTGACAGCAGCTGAAAACCAAACGAAGCACGACGCCATATTGTTGTTTGTTCAAGCGTTAACGACACTCTGGAGCGATATCTTCGTATTTCGCTTCCCTTCATAAGCTCAAAAAAAACAATTAAATTACATTCGGAAACCCTACTTACCTTATCATCAGCTTATATAAGTTTTCTCTTTGTTTTAATCCATCCGCCATCGCGAGAGGTACAGAAGATGTCAAAAAGCGTGCTCCAGGCGACTTTTGACCGAAAATGTTCCGACCGATTACGATCTATACCGAAGAGACTCCGGATATTGCTATATTCGGGGAAGTAGATGGAGGGGTGAGTAAAGTAAGGAAGTAAAGAGAGTTATCCAAGAGGGTCATATACTTTTTACATGAAGCGTGATTGAGTGATTTTTTTTTTCTCGTAATTTAATCTTTTTGTTTCGTGGATCTTGATTAAAGATGGTAAGATCTTTTCATATCCACGTGAACGAATTTTTAATTTAAACGTAACCCGTGACAGGAGGCTAGGCTCCTGCCCGTGAATAAAGTCGTGAACCATTTTCTTTTGCAGTTGTTATTGTTTTGAAAATGTCCGTATCGTTCTCGAAAGGTTGTGCTTATGTTTTGATAAGGCATAGACTTCGCATAGATCGATAAAAGTTATAAAACAGACCATTAATGGTTCTTGAGCAGATAAAATAAGACACTACGTCATCTTTTGTCGCGTAAGACTGAAAATAAAAATTTTTAGACAGCGCACTCACGTCTTTTACGTCGAACGCAATACATTCAGTCTTGTGCAAATGACAGTTTCGTGATAGGAAATATGATAATTCTTGTTGAAGAACGAAATCTGTCCACCTAAAGATGTTGTGATATCTAATACGGTATATCCTTTTACAGGGGGGGAATACACTTTCCATATTTTTATCAACTAATCCAAAATAGGACAACTTCTAGGGGAAAGGAGTTCTTCCCGGGATTCCTTGCAGGAATTTCTGAGTAATGACCCATGTTTCACGACCAAAACATGTAATTTTTCTTCCCTATTTTCAGAAATGGCTTCTGTAAGTTTCACATGGATTCCTCATTGTTGAAGTCATGGTAGCATTCCTGTGAAAATCTAGTGTAAATGACAAACATTTTGGTTCCTTCTCTTTCTGTCCATCATTCATTTGAAAGTGGAAAGGTAAATACGATAATACGCTGCCGTTGATATCTTGAAAACCGTATCAGGTTTAAAAATCATAGTTTTCCAAATTCGAACGGCGTAATATGTGATTATTGACTGTGAGTTTTTTAAGCCTCCATCCTAGTCGGTGTATATACATACTGACCTATTTTACGCCGTCAGTTAACGACTTAAAATCTTATAGTATGTGTATTACCAACTGAAAGAAATTGCGCTGTTAACTAAAAAAAATTTACGCCGTTAATATTTTCATTACGAATTAATTTACTGTAATTAAGATACCGACGCAGAGAGTGGCGTAAAATCTTACAACCTATAGACTCTGATAGTCACCTATTGGGTTATTATATATATTCCCGTTTTCAAACCAAAATGGTTCAAAATAATCCTCTTGGGCGGGTCATATCTGTATAAGGGGGAGGGGGCTGAGTAATGCTCCCCCCATGCAGGGGGCTGCATGGGGGAGCTTCGGAACGAAATGGCGTCCTCTCTCAAATGGACCTTGCTTTCTAAAAGGATCAAGTTCAGACGCGCATTGACGTCACCCGATTATTCGTAATCCTCCGACCCCCCGATTTCAGGTCAACAGACGAACCAGGCCTGCAGGCGAACTAAAGACCAAACCACGTATCAAACTAATGGCTGTAACCTAATCTGTTCTATATAAGTCTGTATACGCATGATACGGCTCAATCAGACAATCGCCACATAATAACATCTTCTTGGGTGGAAAACAAATACTTTTCTTTCAGCTCCAAACAAAGATGCCGAAGTCAAAATCGGAGGACGGGGCGTTTAGCCGAATTTACAAAAAAACTGAATTCGATGAGCTTCTGATTAAACTTGGCGGATGGTCAAGATTTCAGCAAATTCAGTGGGTGCTTATTTTCCTTGCCACAATTCCACAGGCTTGGTATACATACGCTCCAGCATTTGCTGCCCGTAAGCCAAAAGAAGGTGACCTCTATTGCCTAAACAACACAGACATTCGAGGAGAGGAGTTTTGTGCGGCTTGGGAAAACAATACAGTTTGTCAGAAAGTTGGATATGACGTGACATTTTCTTCGATCGTTACCGAGGTATGTAAAATTTGCCCACGAGCCCGTGCTCGTTTCTTTCCTGATTAGGATGCCAAACAATACAACACACGAGTGCGACTTAGACTCTGGCCAACGTTTTTAGTTGACTTAACAAGCCCACGTAGAACTTTAGGGCTTTGTTTTGAATATTTGCACAGCCGTTTTGTAAGCAGTGTTTTACGATTATGCCTAGAGCAGGGAAATAAAAACATCGTCGTTTGCCTTATTTCTGCCCTTCTGCTAACTTCTGATATATTTTATATGCAGTGAGCTTGGCCGATCATAAGGAAAACATCTCGCCACAAAATATGTCGAACGTACGTGATTTCACGGTACAATGTTGTTTACAATTCGCCTGTCACGCTCTACTTTGAGGCTGATCTTAATCCAGATTTTGAGAGAAAACGGCGTTTTCTATTTTGGGGTTTGAATCAAATCCCAATGTTTTATTTTCTTTTAAAATCAAGCGTTTTTGGGCGCGAAAAGTATTTTTCAACTTATGCTTTTGAAATACGATCTCTTCCCCTTTTTTTTGTTTTGTGTTTTTTTGCTTTGTTTTGGTTTTTTTTTTTTTTTGTTAATCGAATTTTATCTGCGCTAAGCCTTCTAATGGTTTGCGCTACCATCGGCCGGTCACAGATATCGAGATATCGGGAGCGATTGAAAATTTATGTCTAGGAAAACAGTTGCTTCGTTGCAAGCGGGTACTACACGATCGCGAAAAGATCATAGCATAGATAAATTGTCGAGAAAAAAAGGCGTTTGCAGTAGAAATTTCCGTTTTAACGATAATTGCTACCGAAGTTCAGCGTCATTTGAGTCGGAGGCGCTGTAAAGAATGCATGAAATTTTATGAATTTTACGTGCAAACAAGATTACGATGTAATGAATATGAAAGCGATGAACATTACTTAAGCAGTAATGAAAATAAGGTCTGGAAAAATCCAGGCCAGTACGGGATTTGAACCCATGACTGGCATGTATTCGTTATCTGGTGTTACGTATGACGTAAAGTTGTTACATTCGATAGGGACGATGGGTACTAAAAGCACGGGAAAGAAACATGTCGTTTGAAGATATTACATGACAATGACCTCTGCGATACTGGTGCAGTGCCCTATCATCTAAGCTAAAAAGCCAACTGGGAGCTGGTCATTATTTATGTTCGTAATAAACCCGTGAAGTGATGAATCATTGACTCATGATTTTCATGTATATTTTCATGTATTTATCTATATTTGAACCTACTTGCTCTCAAAATGTACAGCAAGAAACTGGAACATGGCTCAGAACCAAAAGATTTTGAACTTTTTACATTCTCTTGCTCAGAGCAGATTACAGCACCGTTGCACTGATAAATTTGTGAAAACTTAACCGACCTGTTTCGCGGGATTTTCGTTCCTAAATACAATATACTATATCTACTAACCTCGCCTCCAGGATCTCTCTTCTTACTACTTCCTGGAGCGAGAGAGAGACGGGAACGAGGCTGTGTATCCACATTGCAACAAAATGAGTACTTTGGCACTCGTTGCTACACAATAATTCAACAGAAAAATTCTTAAATCACTTTTGCTTTAATAATACGAATGCGATTACTTTCTTTTATAAATGAAATAAAAAAAACCTTTTAGGAACCAATCTTTTATGACGGGTCTCTTATGGTCCTCTTTTACAGTGGGACATTTTATGCGATGATGCCAAAAAGTACGTTCCACTTACAAAGACTATCTTCTATGCGGGTAAGCTGTTCGGGGCTTATTTCTTCGGCTGGGTGTCTGACAGATTTGGACGCCGTACAACTTTCCTTATCACCATGCTCGTGCAGTTTATCGCCTCCTTGATTGAGAGTTTCTCCACGAACTTCATCATGTACGTCATCCTGCGGGTTCCCCTTGGGGTCTGCAGTGGAGGTGAGGACTACTGGACAACAGGAACCCATTATCAGGGCTTCTGTGGACAATTATTCGACGAAGGCGAAGTGAATATTATACACTTAACGTATGGTCCTAAGGAAAACAAAACTAACTAGTTTTCCTAGGGACCATACGTTAAGTGCTTTGCTATATATTTAGACTTTCCCTTAAACAATCATGTGGCAATCATGGCGGGCGGCAACTGCGCAATTGAATCCCGGTCGGGATACATTTGAATCATTCTTAGTCAGGGGCACGTGACCAAGAATCAACCAATCACACTGCTCGTTTTGTTGAGTGAAGATCTAGGTTTATAACAATGTTGAATAGCCCCGAGACGAGGGGATTGTTCAACAATGAGACGAATAATTGTTTTAATATAGTTGCTCTGGTGCATTGAGCATATTTTGTTACAATTGCGTTGATTGCTCATACCAAGATTAGCAAGCAGTTTTAAAAGGTTTATTTCATTCACGCAGCAAAAACTTTATATCTTTCGTTTGAAAAGAGTTCCGGCAAATCAGTTAAATCTTTTGAGCTCTTTGCAATGGAATTTTCTTATATTGCGTTTATTACTTCCTCGGAATTGACAAAACGCGAGGCAACCATTTGAAATTAAGCGCTTCTGCTTTAATCACCTCGCGCGAGGTGATTATTAAACGATTACTTCACCAGCGTGTGTTGGATATGAGATGATAGACTATAATCATCTCGCATCCAACAGCGCGAGTGGAAAAATTTTTTCGCTAGAAACGCCCCTAAATGTGGATAAATCTTTACAACTTATTATTTTGTAAGAACAAACGGGATGTTAAAATGTACAAAAACACTTCTTGTTTAACTCGTCTTCATGCATGCGGAAGGTATAATGGCTCATAACTTATGATGACTAAGCCAACGAAAACTCTTGAATTGCAACGGTCCAGTTTTTAATAAGGCGAGATATAACGCAATCCTCGACCAATCAGAGCGCGCACATCTCTTTAATCACCTCAGCAATTATACTTATCGGTGATAATCATTCTACTTGCAACTTGTCAAAGTGTATAGTGTAAGTTTTTTTCGTTAGTC